TTAGCTAAAATGACTAAATGACTTGTGACTTAGTCATCAAGTCATTTAGGTCACATCCGGTCATGTGCCAACACTGCTTTCCAGAGACTAGAATAAGGAAAGAGCTTGGCCCCTACAGTACCAAAAATTTGTCTAATGTGATCCTAATCGAACTATGTTATTAATAAGATCAGAAGGAACAATAAGTTCCGTCGAAGTTGAAAAGGAATAGCCTGTAGCTTTGCAGTGTAAACATTTATCCCATTTACTAATATTATGCGATTTTTCAAAATCTTTTACAAGTGAGCACCTCCTTGTCTATATCAATTGTGATTGGTCGAAAACAAAATGCATAAAATTCGAAAGAGCTGCAAATGTATAATCTTTGGTTCCTAAAGTAGAAAGTATAAAGTTGTAGAGGCTTGTTGAAATAACACCTTTAATAATGTCGAAGAAGGAAAAATTTGTGAGAAAAGAGATTAACCAAATGTTTGACTGATCGATATGTTGTGAGATGGTTTGCAGGTCAAGCAAAGATGTGAGGTATTGTTTAGCCTGTTTAATCAGATTAGATAAGTCGTTGTGCGCAGTGATACAGTTCAAAATATGTGGGAAGTCCTCAAATTCAATATGGCATCAGATGCATTTCCATAATGATTGGTATAGAGTTGGATGTCGTTTCTTTAATACTTCCAATGTCGGCAGGATTTCGAGTAGGCGGTGAATCTTTTTTTGTTTGATAGCTGAAGCTTCATAACATATTGCTTGTGAAACAATATTATCAGTGATGCAATTGAGCGTAGCCAACTAGTGCACATTGGAGGAATGATATTTTGAAATAAGATCAAGGTTGAGGAAGGCTGCAAGAGTTTCCGCTTTTTTAATCTCTTTAATAAAGGGCTGAATCAGAGTGGCAATAGGGAGTTTATTGACTAATAATGTGTAGTGTTCATCATCATCCATGTTGATATGAAGAGCCGATGAGGACAGAGATTGTTTTGCAAGTGAATCAACTTTGTCGTTAAAAGTGTCTTCGTAATATGCTTGCACTTTAATCAGTGAGACTGTGAGATACATATTTTTTATAGTATTGAATATGCAATGCCAAAAGTGTGTATTGGTTATCTTCAAAAATGGTCTTTACGATGGTGAGTATTTTAGAAGTGATTTGTATTTGTTGAATTGTGTAATCACCATACTAGAGTCAGTGAAAATTTTAATACGATATTGGGAAGGATCAACGAGAATTGCTGTGAAAATAGCAGCCAGTTTAGCGATTGATGAAGATGGGAAAGAAGCAGTAAAGGCTGTAGAATAAGAAATAAATAGAGCGGTAGGCAACGTTTGGAGCTAGGCGAGACCCATTCTAATTGAAAGCTTTTCTAAATCAATAAGAGAGCCGTCGGAGTAGAATTCAAGATCAGGACAATTTGTGAAATGCAAACTTAGAGTTAATAAATGTGAAAAATGAAAAAAAGGAATATATTTTTCTATAAGTGTGGGTGAGGTTAAATGGATGTTAGGAAGTGTGAGAGGTGGTCTTAATGTAGTATGTAATTGTTTATAAAAAGAGTCAGCCAGGTCTTTCAATAGATCCATCGACTATGAGCAGAAAGGTCCAGACTCAGTCCAACTATAATTGACAGGGATTGTAAAACAAAGATTAAGTGGAAGATCGGTGAAACATAAATTGTGTGAAGTGTTAACATTTGAAGGTAGAATAGTGTTTGGATTATGTATCTGACATTCATTACATTCATTCAAGATAGTCTTTCTATGTTGATTATGTGATGGAAGAAAGTGTTGTATAATGGTAGAGTTGTTGTCAGAACGTCGAAGTTTCCCAATAACTGGTTGGTTATTGCCCAAATTCCAGCCTACTATAAAAGATTGTTTGCCAGCGATCTTGTTGTGAAGAATGAAATTAAAGAATGGTTCCTTTGAATGCAGATTTTTTTGCCGTAATTCGCATGTATTGGGGATCGAAAGCAATTCCTGTAACTTTGTGAACCACATAGGTATTCTTCTTATGTGCGGGGTATTCGAATAAACTGAGAGGTTCGCAAAAGTAAGCATTGATTGACCATGTGAAAAAGTAAGTTGTTCCATAAAAAGTATTGAATATTTTTTGAGATCTGCAGCAAATTCTTTGTAACAATCGGGAATCACTATGTGTAAAGGAGTGTTTTCTCCTTTTATGAGGTTATGAGTATTTACAGGTATTTGAACTGTGATTGTTGATTTGTTCCATTCACATCAGTGTTGGCACATGACCGGATGTGACCTAAATGACTTGATGACTAAGTCACAAGTCATTTAGTCATTTTAGCTA